AATTTGAATACTAGAAAGTATTAGAAATGTGTCCAAACAAGTTGAAAACAGACATTTCTAGACAATTATTATAGAAAATTTGTCTAACAGCGTTTCTAATGAAACTACATCACATTTTCATTTTAAGATGCCCCTTATAAAAAGAGTTTGAACTTCAATAAAAGGGCATTTTGGTAACCTCCAAAAATAAGAAGTTTAAAATCTCAATTACATATGTTGAGAACTACTCATTCATTGTTCAAATAAAATCAAACACAATTTTATAAAAATAAAAGATCTTTAGAATTATTGAACCACAAAGTTTTGATGACTTTGTTATATATCGAAAATATTTTGTTTCTTACCGAGCATTTTTACTTGTCAATCTAATCAGCTTCATGTGTTATTATTTAAATTGGACAATAAATTTCTAGTGAAACAATTAACATCGTAAAGACAATATGTCAATCTTATTTCCATTCCCTGTCAATGAAAAAAATGGACCAATAGTATTTCCAAACGTTGTCAAAAGTAGGATTTGAAAGCTAACTGAGCTGTTAATAGTTGGAAATTTATGAGAGCCAGCTAAAAGACACATATAGTACATATATACATATATGGTCCCTTTTTTAGGTTAGGTTCCACACCACCACACGTGCAATCCAGCCAGTTTCAATGCATGGGACAGTCTGTGTTTATTACTTAGCTGGTTGCAATGGATCCATACATATATGATATATACACATTCATTTTTTGATAACTCAAATATATTTGTAATTTTATATTATTACTATCTTTTAATTTAATGAATGAGAATATTTATTTAATAGTTTTAAAAATTTTGATAAATGAAAAAAATTGTTTAACAGTAATTGACTGTGAAGAACATCTTAAAATAAAATAAATAAATAAATAAATTGACAGTGTACACGTGAAATAAAATGCACATTTTATATAAAAATAATAATAATAATAATAATAGAATAAAGAAATGTGGGGGTTTTGCATGACTTGCATGTCGTGAACCCAGATAAGAGTCCACGTGAACTTCACAAGGTATTCTTAACCTAGTTTCCGAACAAGCCTAGCATTGATCATTTGCTATGTCCCATTCCAGAAATGCTACACGTTTAAAAATTTTATTGAGAATTTTTATTCAAAATGTATTGTTCAGATTTATTTTATATAAAATTATTAACAAATTTTCGATAAAGTTTTCCAATGTGAGGTCACATTAATTTTGTAGTTTATATTTTTGGAATCAAAGATGCAAAAAAACACATACCAAACGTTTTGATATGATGTTGGTTGCTTTGTCTAGGCATAGTAGGATCATTCATTCCCCTCCAAACTTTGCTCTCTTCTCTTCAAATCAACTATTATTGGGGCGGCAATGTTGAACAATACTCCGACAAAAAGAATCCCTTTTTATTATATTCAAAGAAAATCAAGGGCATGCTTAGAATCAAATGTTGTTATTATGATCAACAATGTCAAGAGAATGTTTTTCAATAATTGACTCTATTCGATAAAAAGTTTAAAGAATCATATTTTTTTAATGTATCATATTTTTTACTTTTCAAGTTTGTTTATTCTACTCAAACCGAAAAATGAAGTTTTTTTGAAATTAAAAAAAAGAAAGAAACAAAGTAAAGATGAAAAATATTAATAAAAAAGCTGTTAAAAATACAATTTTGACCAAAGTGTAGAAATACAAAAATTAAACACAAAACTGAATACAAAAATGTATGGGTTTATTATACTTTTTATCTTGAAAATTTTGATTTAAATTTCAATTTGATCTCTGTTATTTTAATTGAACAATATTAACTATATACTTTAAGTCCAATTTCAATTGAATAATGTTAACCAACAATCATTTAAAATCTAAGATCAAAGGCATAATAGTCCATTGATAGAGTGATGATTATTGTATTTATTTATGTGTTTTGTGTTTGATTCGTTGTTCAATTTATTATTTTTTTAATTTACTGAAAATTTACTGAATAAGTGATATATAGCATTTTTGCTTTCACATTATTAAGGTTGTTTTGAATGGTAGGTGGATGAATCATGACATGCTTGACGGTCATTTGCTGACACGTTGAAATTGTTAAAATTCAAACTAGAGAGATTTATACTAAGAATGCCATTGAGAAAGTTTATTCAAACAAAAATTAATGATTAGATTAGGAATCATTGTGCTTAGAGTCTAATCTTTTCTGTTATTGATTTGTTAATCTCATGTTTTAACCATGTGCACACATAATTTTGATACAAATCATTAAAGGAAAGTAAGGATCATGAAATGACTAGGTGTGACAAATTATGCTTTGGATGATGGCATTAAGCACTAATCCGCCATTTTTGACACCTTTTCAAATTAAAAAATTCTTAATAAGCAAAACGTGATCAAATCACTCACCTTTTGTTGAACTGAAAGTTGTGTGAATAAACAAACATTTGACTTGTGCCTATTGAATTTCCAAATTTTAGCAGTGAATTAATGTAAGCATACTATGACAAAGTTATAATGACCCTTGACAAAGTTAGGTTGATAAAGTTTAGAGAGTTGTTGTCCAATGGAGAACACACCATAGGTTGATCCAACAACCAGTCTTTGCTTGAGATTTGAGTTGGAAGGGTGCAAATTGAGAAATGCAAATTCTTTTTTTATTTTTTATTTTTATGATGAGGAATCTCTCCAAGTAGGAACCATTACGACTCCACAAATCTTAAATATTTATAAGCAAATTACAAATATTAATTAAGTTCGAGAGACACTGCAATAGTCGTTGATGGAGGGTGTATATTGGATTATATCATCCACATAAATAATAATTAATTCTTCGTTTGGCATGTCATACTTTTTGACTTTTTAACTATTTTAGTCACAAAAAGACAAAATAAATTTTTTAGCGTAATAAGACAAAACATCACATCATATCACATCCAATCCATAATGATTTTATTTTTTTTCTTACAAAAATTAAAAAAAGCCGAAAAGCTTATCTCAAACGAGACTTTTTAACCCCAAGCTAAAATAATCAAAAAGTCAAAAAGCTGACTCACATCCCAAATGAACCTTAAATTTGGAAGAAACTACAAAAGTTGAACTCGCGGTAAGATATGTGTAAATTTCTTAACTTTCTCACTTGAGAATAAAAAATGAAAAAAATACAATTCAGTGTAAAAATAAAAAAAAAATAAAAAAATTACACCTAAATAGTAAACTTTATAAATATTAATAATTAAAATTTTAAAGTTTTTTATGTATTTGTAAATATTTTTTAAAAAACCATAAAAAATCAATCAATGCCACCCTCATTCATCCTAGCAAAAACTAACGAGCATCACAGTTTAAAACATACGTATATATATATATATATATATATATATATCATTTAGAATATTATGTTTACCTTGCCTTACATATCATTTGTTCATAAATTTTATTGGAGCTTGACCACAGTCCTAACACTCAATGTGCCAACCTAGTCTATTGATTGTGTTTTTATTTTATTTTTATTTGTTAGATAATTCATAAACTTGTTTGACATACTGTTTTTTGAAAATGATTTATAAAAAGTTTTATGAAAACAATCCAACTTTTGAAAATATTTATTTATTTGTTATTTTAATTTTCTAAAAATTATTTCACGCTCAACTAAAAAACGATGAGTATTTTCTAAAATTGCACCTCATTTGGTTTTGATTGATTTTCTGAATATTGAGTTTTTTTTTTTGTATTTTTTTTTATTTTTAGTAAATTTTTTTAATATTTTAAGTATTTTTTTTTTCACTTTCTAGGTGCACATATGCACCTAAAAAGAACATAATTTGTGAAAAAATATTTAAAAAATATACAAAAATATGAAAATGTACTGAGTTTTTATATTTTTTTGAATTTGATGAATTTTTTTAAAAAAAATTCCATAAATATTATACTTTTTAAATGTATCTAAGTTAGGTGCATCTAAAAAATATAAAAAATTCTTAAAATATTAAATTTTTTGATAAAAAATACGAAAAATAAAAAACTCATTTTTTGAAAGGAAATTTTTTTTAAGATCCCAGATATTAAGATTTTATAAGATAAAGAACATATAATATTTTTATAGTTGTTGAAATCTCTCAACATTTTTATAGAGAAAATTCAATACAGAAAAATTTCGTCCCGACACATAAAAATTTCTTTTGATATGATCACAAAGAAATTTAGAAATTTCTCTGATATGATCAAAAAAAAATTTTATCAAGAGATCTTAGCTAATAAAAAAATATCGGATTTCTCTTATTACCAATACCCACAATTAGAAAGAAATATTTCACTAATTTTTTCTTTCTGAAACCAAACAAGATAATAATAAATAAGAGAAAAACTAGGGATCATGAAAAAACTTTTATAAAAATGATTATGAAAAATTTATGACCCTTGGATTACCTTGATTAGTGTGTGGTGTTTTATTTTAAGTGTAATCCAAAGATTATGAATCTTCATGATCATTTTCCTGAAAATTTTTTCATAATACCTAACATTACTCAATAAATAAATAAATAAATGTAACACAACCAACTTCATTTTTCAAACAGGAAGATTATTAAACTAGACAAGTTCATTTTTTAAACATGAAGAATATTAAACTAGATGACTAAAATTATAGAACTGCAAAAGATCAGTTGGTTGTCTCAGTAAACTGAATCATGACTTATTGACAAAGAAGAGAGAGAGAGAGAGAGAGAGAGAGATTGGAGGGGAGTTGGTCAGTGTGGGTGGGGACAGAAGAGAGACAAGGAGGGGTTAAGACTCGAGTGAAACCGGGCTCAGCGGTCCGCACACCATGGTGCACCTTTTCTTCACCTGTCCATATCACTGCTACACTTTTCCCGACCCATCTTCCATTCCTGTCCCCATTCTCATCTCTTTCAATACCCGACAGTCCTCCTTTTCTTCTCTCTCTCTCTCTCTCTCTCTCTCTCAACATGCATGTGTGTGTCTATATATATATATTCGACAACTTTAAACCAAAGTCTAAAGCTCTCTCTCTATACATTTTAAAGCACTACCCATATCATATCTTGCTTTGATCCTGTTTTTCTTTTTTTATATAATTGGGATCTAAAAACCAGTTAGTTTGTTGTTGTTCTTTGTGATTTTCCATGTTGTCAGTTATGGAGCTTCAGCTTGGTCTTGCACTTCCAACGCACAATCCAGTGAAAGGGTTCGACCTGAACCAAAATGGGTTCGACTCGAAAGAGATGGGGGGTTGGTGGAATGACAATGAGTGCTGTTTGGGAAACAAGTTTCTTGGAAACAAGAAGCGAGGTTTTGATGAGGCTTTTGAAGATGGAGGAGAGAGGAATGGGAAGTTGTGTGTGTTTTCTTGGAATGGGCAGCCAAACGAGGAAGACGATGGCAAGGGAGAGAGAAAGGGAAGCTCTATCACCATTGACAAGTAAGTTTTAAATTAAGTACAGAACTTGCATATTGATGTGTATGTGTTGTGTGTGTTGTTTGGTTCTTGAATTTTTCCAAGAAAAGAAAAAGGAAAATATTAAATGAGAAAATTTTTGTTTGGATACCCATGAAAATATGAATAGGTACAAGTGATTTCATTTCCTTTCTTCTCATTTTTCCGGACAAATCCTCCAAACATGGCCTTGAGATTGTAATAGTAGTACTTTTGAAATCGTAATGCCAAGTGATGGTTCTTTTTTATATTTGAAGTGATGGGATATAAATGAGCAATTTTTTTTTTTATTCTTTTTTATATTTCATTTTTTATAAAAAAAAATTATATATTTTTACTCTGTGTAATCGTTTCGTGAATTAAATTACCCAAGTCTACTTATATAATTAAATTACTCTGCATAATCATTTTTTTCAAAAAAGAATTATAATGATAATTAAAGACACATGTTATACCAAAACACAAGAATGTTAGTGCATCAAGCTAATTATAAATTTAACAAGGGGACTTTAACATGTATGGCTAATCCTTTGATCATCAAGTCTTTCATAAGGAAAGGTATTGAGTTTTACTTTCACAAGTCTTTGTACTCGTACTTGTTTATTCCATCAATAAAATTTCTTTTTTGCCTGTCAAAAAAAAATGATAATTAAAGGCACCATGTTATACCTAAGCGCACGAATGTTGGTGCATCAAGTTAATTGTAAATTTAATAAAGGGAATTTAACTTGTATGGCTAATCCTTTGATCATCAAGTCTTTTATAAGAAAAGATATTGGGTTTCACTTTTATAAGTCGAATAAGGACAACTTAAGTGCTTGTAAGGAGAGATTGAGCGTTCAACTCTTCCAAGATGTTAATCTAATAAATAACTATTAACTTTCACCAATAAAAAAAAGTTAAGTATAAATTTGTAATAAGAAAGAAACATTAATATGGGATTCAATTGACAAATTTTGGTATTTTTTGGAATAAAGGGAAAAGAAATTTTAAAAAAAAAAGTTAACTGTAAATTTAATTTGGGGATTTTAATATGTGTGACTAATTCTTTGATCATCAAGTCTTTTCATAAGGGGCTCCACTTTTAGAAGTTGAACAGGGGCAATTTACATGCTTTCAAGAAAAGGCTGAGAGTTCAACTCTTTCAAGATGTTAATCTAACAAATAACTATTAGCTTTCACCAATCAAAAAACAAGTTTTTTTTTTTAACAAATGAGCCGAATTTAAACTCATAAACAAGTCGGCTCACTTATAACCTCCCCTGCAAGAAGGATTACCAATTATCACGCTCTGATTGCTCTCTCTTTTTTATTTTTCTTTTTCAATCGAACTAAAAGAAAAGGCAATGACACCCTACTAACATCAAACTTGAAACCATTATGACAGAGATGATGAAGAAGAAAGCCATGTTGTGGGGTGGCCACCTATAAAGTCATGGAGGAAGAAACTAATGCATCAGCACCACCAACAAGGTGGTAGGACTAGGATAGTGAAAGATCGGACGGTTGAGAGGGGAACATCAAACTCGACCTATGTGAAGGTGAATATGGAGGGAGTACCAATAGGAAGAAAGATCGATCTACGACTCTATCATTCTTACCACACACTTACAACCACCTTGATCAGCATGTTTGCTAAATGTAAGTCTGTTTCTTTGCACTTCCTATTCTATTCTTTTCTTTTCTCAAGTCCCAAACAAGATTTAATGAGTTTAATTTCATTCTGTTCCTGCAGATCAGGATTGTGATAAAATTAGTGAACGTTATACGCTAACCTACCAAGACAAAGAAGGAGATTGGTTGCTTGCTGGAGATGTTCCATGGAAGTAAGTATATATGTACACGTATATATCTGTCTATTCTATTATATAAAACACACAATTCAGAAGTTGTCACTTTTTTTGTGTGTAAATACTCATAAAATTGGTAATCACTAAAATTCAAAATCCAAAACTACTAAGTAGTTTTCAATTTTAATTTCATTCGTTAAACAACCCAAAAGTCGATTGTGAAAGCATGTGGTGTGAAGATGAGAACAAGAATTATGTTGGTCGAAAGCCACTGTGATGTTTAAGTCATCAAGAAGCCTTTGGAAAAAGAATTATAGTTCCATGTGCTATAGATTGCGTAGCTATGATGTATTTATATGGTTGGATTACTTGATCCAAGGAATCTCATGCCTAATATGAATTTTCTTTAAGAGGAAGTGATGCTGGAAGCTTGGGCCAACATCATCATCTATGTTCTATTAAAAACAGTCCAATGTGTAAAAAAATCATTGCAAACTATGATCTAGACCGTGCTTTGGTCACATCCATGTTCGATTAAAAATGACCCCAAGTGTAAAATTCATAGATTTGCCATGATTTAAGCTGTTTTTTTTATTAAATTTTGTCGATTAGGGATTCAATTTCATGTTTTTACTATTTCTAAAAAGATTCGTTTTGATAATTTTTCAACCTAAACAAATCCGATAAAGTTGGCATTTACGTAATTTCATTTAAGAAAGTAATCATTAGCTCTTTATTGAGATACTTTCCATCTTCGTTCCCTCTTCTTATTTTGACTTGATTTTGACCACTACCAAAGACAACCAATCGTACCATGCCATGTAGTCATGGTCGACTTCATCCACTGCCAACACAATTGAGCTTGCTTATTCTATATATGCCATGAACACAACATTCAAGCGCACAAAACTACAAGGAAAAATAATGTCTTATCCAAATTCAATTCTTGTATAGTAAGATCACATCTAGAATAAATTTAAACCACATGTTTTTCTTTGTAATTTTTTGTTCATGAATTATGTAGACATATCTTTATAGACTCATAATTTTGATCAACAAGGAAGTCCCACAATTTAATGATTTTTTGTGTGTGTGTGTGAGTGTGTGTGTGTGGACATTAATGGTGTGTGAATTCTAACACTTGGCGGTGCAAATGATGGTTTTTTTGCAGAACATTCATTGAGACGGTGTGTCGTTTGGAGATACAAAGGAATGTTGGTTGATAGAGTTGAGTTGAAGATCAATGATCACCATTTCAATACCCATATCTATAGTTTAACAAGACCTTGTTAAATGTTGTTGTATGATTGAAGTGATTATATGTAGGTGAAGATAAAATATATAGCTTGTTATTTAATTATGAAGCAAAATGACTGAAATTAAGGCAAGCTTGTTATTATCCTTACAAACTAGAAACTTGTGATATTTGTTTTTAAATTGTTTTCATTAGCATCTATGTTGTTGCAGAGAAAAATATGTGAAAATAGTATAATGAATGTCCTATTGATTATAATAAGCAGTTCGAAATTAGTGAAAACCCTTGACTAAATGTGAATATTTTATATGATTTTTGGATTGATTGTCTATATTTTTAATAAAATTAGGGTTCTACTCCTCTCTCTATTTGAATGTTTGTTTAATATCTTTTTATTTTATAGGTTTTTGTACGTAGGTTATTCATAAACAAATTAAAATTAATTCATTAATCATAATCACATAATTTTACTACATTCATTAAAAAAAATCTATTTAAACTACAACAAACATTATCATAATCTCACATAATATAACTAATAGAATTGTCGTTATTTAAAAGTTTTTGAATCTCACTAAGATATGGTCGATGATCAATTCTCTCTATTCTTTTTTAGGAATGCAAGATATCACAATTTATTCACAATAACATTTTGAGTATTTGGCCATAAAAAAATAATAAAAATCAAGGGTATTTTTTAAGGGTCTTAATCTTGTCCATGAATTTGTTTTATGCTTAAGTTTTTTTTCTTCATAATTTAATGTACTTTCATAATATTTGTAATTTAGTAATCTCATCTATTACCCAATGTCGTAGCTTATTCCCTTTTGTCGAATGGTACTACTTATTCACTACTCTAATCCGTGAATTAAAAAAAAAAAATAGGTGAGTTATTCTATTGAGTAAAAAAACTCTTGGTGGTTCGTGGCTTGGAATTGAAAAATGATTGGTTGGGACTGCAAAATATATATATATATAATATATATATATATATATATATACATAAGAAGTTCTTTCTTCTCATGGTTTGTCATTTTTCCACCTATTTTGTCCTTTCATTTTAAATAATTTTTTAATAGTCATTTATATGTTGAGTAAATATCTTTTTCGTAATTATGTAAACATTTTGAGTCAATTATGAAATAAGTTTTTTTGTAATTACGTAAACATTCTTGATCAATTATGAAATAAATTTTTTCATAATTACGCCAATATTCTTAGTCAATTATGAAACATAAATCTTTTATTATTTAACAAATTATAAATATACCCATAATGTTTGTTTAAAATATGAATCGATCATATAATACTAGTAATTATAATTATCGTTTGTTATAAATTTTAATTTAACACCATACCCAAGGAAAAAAAAACACCCTATTCTCCTATGCAATAATAAATTATCAAAATTGTTTATTGAAAAATATTTCTCATATCATGAAAAATTGTTAATGGATTTAATGATTTATTTATTAATAAAATCGTTACTGATAAATATTTTTCATATCATTAAAAATTATTAATTTACTTAAAAATAAATTTGATCATTTGTTATGTGAGTATAATTTATGTATTAATAAAATTATTCATTTTTATATATATGTATTTTGTTTTGCTTCTTTATTAGTTTAGTGATTTATCTTAGTAATTTTTTTTTAGATGGGAGAATTATCTTAGTATTTGTTTTATATTTATCTGTTCAAAAAAAGCTACACACCATAATTTATTTTATTTTATTTTTTATCAATTCGGAAGAAATGTTAAAGACACATAAATTCAATCAAAATAATATGGTAATAAAATTGGAGTCGACATTATTGGGTGTATAACAAATCAAAAAATGATACATATCATGTAACATAAATCTATCATACATATAATGATTTATTCTATTCAATTTCATAAAATAATATTTGAATTTTAAAAAAATTATCAAAATACAAAATTTAAATATACTATAATAATAGTCTGTGCCTTGCACGGGCTTGTGTAATCTAGTATATTTATAAGAATTGCTTTCCTATAGATGGCTTGTCATTTTATTCCCATGTTGCCCTCCATTTTCGTTTTATTTTACCATATGCACAATTGTCCTTTCATTTTGATAAATCTCTATTTTGCTCTTTTTTTATTTCGATTTTGTCCTTTCATTTTGAATAATTTACTAATGGTGGCCTATATGTTAAGTGAAGATTTTTTTTTGTAATTACGCAAACACTTTTGGTCAATTATGAAATAGGTTTTTCCATAATTATGCAAATATTCTTGGTTAATTATGAAACATAAATATTTTATTTTTTAACAAATTACAAATGCACCCATAAAATTTGTTTAAAATATGAATCGGTCCTATAATAGTAGAAATTACAACTATGGTTTGTTATAAATTTTAATTTAACACAATACTCAAGGAAAAAAATATATATATTCTCCTATGCAATAATAAATTATCAAAATTGTTTATTGAAAAATATTTCTCATATCACTAAAAATTGTTAATTGACTTAATTATTTATTTATTAACAAAATGGTCAATTGAAAAATATTTTTCACATAAAAAAAAATTGTTATTTACTTATTAATAAAATTGATCATTTGTTGTGCGAGTATAATTTATGCATTAATAAAATTAGTCATTTGTATATATATGTATTTTTTTCTGTTTCTTTATTAGTTCAGTGACTTATCTTAGTAGTTTTTTTTAGATGAGAGAATTATCTTAATATTTGTTTTATATTTATCTGTTGAGAAAAACTACACATCATAATTTTTTTTATATAAGTAATAGAATTGGAGTCAATATCATCGGATGTATAACAAATTAAAAAATCATACATATTATACCACATAATTCTATCATAAATCTAATAATTTATTTTATTCAATTTCAGAGTATAATATTGTAGTTTTTAAAAAATTATCAAAATATAAAATTTAAACATATTATAATAATAACTCATGCGTTGCGCGGGTATGTGTAAACTAGTATATATATTTCTTTTTTGACTGGGACTGAAATTAGCCTCTTTATGCTTGGATTTGCAAACCTGACTGAAATTTCCCTCTGGGTTGGGTTGGGCTGGGCCGTACTAGTTTGCTTTCACCAAACCAACGACTTTTGGCGCGCACAATGGAACAGTAAAAAAAAATTAAAAAATAGCCTATGCAAGTTGGTATAGTCTATTCGGTTATAATAATAAGTTAAAGAGGATGCAGTCAAAGAAGACTTTATGATAGATTGACAAACTATTAAAAACAAGACGATAAATCTAATCAATAGACATCAATATTTTAAATTGAATTCTTAACCAAAAACAGTCAGAAAACCCCTTATCCCCATGTCTTTACTCTCTGTTGTTTTTCAAGTTTAGAATCTGTGTTGAATCTCCTTAAATCTGTTGCCGGCCTCCTCTTGTCTCTCATTTTTTATGTGTGTGTCTACCACCACCACCTCTGGCCACCAGCAACCACCACTCACCGGCTACAACCACCTTCAACCACCACCACAACCCCTGATCAGCTATGGGATTACTGGGTTTTTCTTTGATGCTTCTTTCTATGCTTCAAATTGTTGCTTCGCAGCAAGTTACTGACCCCAATGAAGGTTTGTGCGTTTGTGTGTCTCTGTTTGACTTGTCTCATCAATTGTGCTTGTGCTTATTTTTAGCTAAGTAGAAGTTATTGAATTGTTTTGAATGTTTGTTTTGTTTGTTGGGTCAGTGGAAGCACTAAACAAGATAATTAGTCACTGGAATTTGGGAACAAAGTTGAATATCAGTGGTGTTGATCCCTGCACCCAGAATGCAACCTGGGCTCCTGATTCTGCCAATCCCCAAATTGCCTGCCACTGCGCTGGCACTACCTGCCATGTCACCAGATTGTCAGTTCCTCCCTCATCATTTTCTTTGTACTTCCTATATACGTGGTGGTGTACACGGTTTGGTTCGATTTGATTCTGAATCAAAATCAAATACTGATTCCAACAATTTTAGAAATTTTGGAATCGAATTAATCTGTTGGAACCTATAGAACCGAAAGGAATAAACTTATTTGGTTCGGTTAGGTTTGATTCTACAGTTATGGACAATTCAAAACTAATCAATTCTAGCAGCTCAATTTTAGTGCAAAATACATTTTTAAAAGTCACTACTTTCAACACAAAATACACTCAAAACCATTAATGAGCCAACTAAAAGGTTCATTTATATACTCTCAAACTAAATATATACACTGAATGGTTTGGTTCAGAATAAGAACCGAGAGGGATTTACACTCAAAACCATTAATGAGCCAACTAAAAGGTTCATATATATACTCTCAAACTAAATATATACACTGAATGGTTTGGTTCAGAATAAGAACCGAGAGGGTCAAATCCTGAACCGAACGGTTCGTTCTTTTTTTTTTAAAACCAAAACCAAAGTGTTCCGTCTTCCTAGACACTAAACTAGGCATACTTTTTAATTATTAATTTTATTTTTTACGCCAATACTTTCATAGCAGTATGGTATAAAAAGTATATTTTGATTTTCATCTGACTCAGGAAGGTATATGCTCTTGACATATCTGGTGAAATTCCCAATGAATTATTCAATTTAAAGGAACTGCAAAACTTGTAAGTGATCACTTTCTTAGAACTCTTTTTTGGGTTTTTTTCAAATACTTTTATTTGATTGATTTACTGATCATATTTCATGGTGCAGGAATTTGGCTCAAAATGTATTAAGTGGACCCATCCCACCTGAAATTGGACAGTTAACAAATATGCAATACCTGTAACTAACTGCCACTCCAACTTCCTACATCTTTCGTGAATTTCCCAAATCGGGCTTCGGATCATCTATCCGCCTTCTGTCAAAGGGGGATAGATAGATGATGCGAACCCCTAAAATTGAACTGCTTTCACTATTTTTGATGTATTGAAAAACAGGACTGTCGGCATAAATAATCTTAGTGGTCCAGTGCCTCCAGAGCTTGGCAATCTCACCAAGTTACTATCCTTGTAAGCACATATCTGCATCATTTATAACTGTTTTCATCATCTTTCTACTCTTCTGGATTTATCTTTTAATGGGGTTCTTTTCGTATTTCAGAGGCATCAGCTCCAACAATTTCCAGGGACCTTTGCCTGCTGAGCTCGGAAACTTGACTTCTTTACAACAGTTGTAAGTAGGACTAATGAACAGGGTGATTCTGCCAAGCCCATTTGCTTTAGCTGTGGTTTTGCTAGATAGTAGATAGGGACAGTTTAAATCTCGTTAATCAATTCACGTGCGTCACTAATTAGATGATCAGTAATCAGAAATTTTTTTTTTTTTTCATTCAGGTACATTGATAGCAGTGGCGTGAGTGGACCGATTCCACAACAACTATCGAGCTTGAAATCCCTCATGAAACTGTACTCTTTAAGCACTTTTCTCTACATAAACACATAGTGATCTTCCAGACTCTTTTAAAATATTAAAAGTAATTTTATATTTTTGTTCCAGGTGGGCATCTGATAATCTTTTTACCGGAAAGATTCCTGAATTTCTTGGAACTTTTACGGATTTCATTGACCTGTATGCATGACTTCCTTTGTGCTATGCTATATTTGAAGGAATTTTGTAGTGATTATACAAATTAAATTGACTGTTGCACCTTTGTCATTGACAGGAGACTAGAAGGAACAATGCTTGAAGGTCCAATCCCGACCAGTCTTGGTGCTCTAACCAAACTTGATGACCTGTAAGAACGAATTACAATCTTTTGTACTAGACAATTAATAGGAAATTAGTGGTAACCGTGCTATGGACGGCATCTAAAAAAATTAATAATATATTTTTATATAAAATAATATAAATATTTAAATTTTTGTATATAAATTATGAAAATAAAAAAGATTGAAATTTATAATTTAAGTCTCAAAATTTTATTACAATTTATTTATTATTTTTTAATTTGTCACAGATTTAATCATGTAACTTTCAACCCCTTACTAGAATTGCAAATTTAAGTGAGCTCAACCCAAGCAACTTGAGTTGAATTTAAAATTTTTTAAAGATTGAACAACATAATTTTTAATTAAGTGAGGATTTATGCAAAAATTCAAAAATTCAGATTAAATTTGAGTGGACTTGGACAGAAACACCAAATAACTTGAGAAACCAAAACAAAATTATATAAATAAATATATAAATTATTTGCTAATTTATATTTTAAAATAATAAATAAAATTAATTAAAAATTTAATATTAATGAACAAAATAAAAGAAAAAACAATATACTTAAGATCTCCAATATAATTTTTCTTGAAAATATTTAAAAAAAAATACAGTCACATGACATCTCTATTTTTCTACATATTTTTTTGTAAAAAGTAAAAAAGTATACTTAATTATATTTTTTAAGTCACATCACATCTTTACTTTTCTGTACATATTTTCATAAAAAGTAAAAAAAATATACTTATTTAGCACTTCCTAAACTACCACTAAGTTGATACTAAAAAAAAAAAAACTCTCTCTTTATAATAGCATAAATAATTTAAATATAATTTTTTTGGTAACTCTTTTTAATTTAAAAATTTCAATAAAATATTAAAAAGAATAAAAACAAATTTCTTACAAAATAAAAGTATTTGAATAAAAAAAGGTAGGAAGATATTTTAATATTGGTATTTTCATATAATCGGAATATAATTTTAGATGAATAATAAATTATCACCTATAACATTTAACGAATTATCACTTTTAATAAAATAAAATAAAAAGGGTTTCTTTCTAATTTATTTTAGCAAAAGTAACTTTTTAACAATTTGAGCCAAAGATATCTCTATTCTTTATTTTAATTTCTTTAATTGACAATTGAGATTAAAAAAAGAGTGGTGATTCAATTCACCATGTTTGTTAAGTAGGGGTGTAAATCTAGCTCAGCCTAGCCCATGTCAGGTCTCGTGGGCTCCCGTCAAAATTCGGGCCAGGTCGACTCACGGGCCAGAAAACTGTGCCACATCATTAGTGATACTCTAGAGCTCCCAATTTAGTGCTCAAAACATTATTCTTAAAAAAAATCTAACAAAATTCACCATGTTTGTTAAGTAGGGGTGTAAATCTAGCTCAGCCTAGCCCATGTCAGGTCTCGTGGGCTCCCGTCAAAATTCGGGCCAGGTCGACTCACGGGCCAGAAAATTAGGCCCAGGCCCAGTGATATTTGGGCCTTCGACAGGGCGGTGGACTGAGGCCCGGGGTCAAGCTTGGGCTGGCCTGAACATTTTTTTGTTTTTTTTGTTTTTTCCACCAAAAATTTATTATTTTCCACTAAAAATGATTATGGGCCTCGAGCGCGAGTTTTGAGTGGGCCTTGAGCGGTTGGCCAAGGCGGGTCAGGCCCATGGGCTACGCTGGGCTTCAAAATGATGGCCCGAGGCCAGGGTCTCAGGCATGGGCCTAAATAGGTCGGGCCCACTCCAAGCTACGGTTGAGCTTTGGATCGCCCACGGGCCGCAGGCCATTTTTACACTCCTATTGGTAAGTACTAAAAAAGTTATGTTTTGTTCTTTTGTCAAAAAAAAAAAATTATATTAAAAAAAATATTATTATTCAAGTCCTTATAGTTTAGAAGGATATAATTTTTTTTTTATAAAATTTAAAACAAAAATGAAAAAAAAATAGCGATTAATAATTTGAACACATGAAAACAAATTATATTTAGACCACTAAAATTATGACACATGTGATTATTGATTTCATTCTAATTGTAGTAATATAATTTGAAGAAGAATTTAAATTTGAAATTTTATTTTATAATTTAATAAAATATGCAAAATTTAAGGAATAAATATTGATCTCATTTCAATTATAGTAACATAATTTAAGCAAGAATCCAAATTTGAAATTTTATTTTATGAATATAAAATTAATTTATAGACCAATAATATTGTAACACGTATTAACAAAAAATTAAACAAAATATAAAATAAAATAAAAATGAGAAAAAAGAATTACAACTTTCAACCTTAATGAAATAGTATATAGATATATAGATAAATCATAGAATATATCATTATTTAAAACTTATACATCATGGGAAAAATCATTATAATTTAAAATTTAAATTAATTGAGTGTTTTTCATATTTAGTACCCCTCAAATTTGAATTTTGAAATTGATTAATATACTTTCTATTTTTTATTTTATATATTTGATATACCTTCCATTTGAAAGTCATAAATTTAGAGATATTAAATATATATATATATATATATATTTGCTTGAATGAGAGCTAGAAATGATTTTTTTTAATTATTTAAAATTAAAAAATTAGAAATTTTAGTTTGATATATTGGAACCCACAAGACTTATGGTTAGAAACCTCTTTTTACTTATATAATATATAGATAGATAGATAAATTTAATATGAATTTATATTTGGTTCAAATATTTTTTTAATATACAAATTATTTTTTAAAATTTTCTTATAAAAATAATTTAACAATCACATCACTAATCATGGTGTATGGAAAAAGTTAAAAAGGGTGTAGGAGTATGTATGGGAAAAGTCTAAAATACTTATGGGTTTGAGGAAGTCAATAAATGCTATTTTTTTTTTTTTAAATCAAAAAATTAAAAAAATAAAATTAGAATATTCAAACTCCCACAAGAAGGTTTGTTGGTCAAAAACTCCATTTTCCTTATATATAATATATAAAAGATTCCATTTTCTTTTACACATTAACAAGAAATTATTATCTTTATTTTTTTTTTCTTTTTTTCATTTTTTTGCATAGGAGAATTGGTGATCTAAGTATGGAAGATTCGTCTCTTGACTTTGTGGAAAACATGACCAGTTTGTCCATACTGTAAGATATCGTGTTTGTTTTTTCATTCATTTTCATTTGAATCCATCATGTATGACTGTCATGCTGCGTTCATATTGTCTGCAGATCATTGAGAAACTGTCGACTGGCTGGCCTAATTCCAGAAAAACTCAGCACCTTCTCTAATTTGAAAACACTGTATGTTACCTTCACATTGTAGATGAGATTCATGGAATTCAGTTATATTTTTAGTTTTTATTTTTATTTTTATTTTTTTTTTATATATCGAGCTTTTGAATTTTTTTTCTCTCCTTTAAAAATGTGATCACCATGAAAGGGACTTGAGCTTCAACAAGCTGACAGGTCAAATACCAATCTCCTTCCAAAACTTCACTTCATTAAACTACTTGTGAGTGTGATGAACCAATGATTTGTTTTTGTTTCGTTCTGTTGTGTTTGATTATGCCTATGTTGATCATTCTTATTGAACAATGCCTTTCTCAGATATCTTGGAAGCAACAACTTGAGTGGGGAGGTACCTCCAAACATCATAAGTCAAAATCTCCTTGCGCTGTAAAGTCCCCAAACTCTGATATGGAATTGCCCTTCTCTCAAGCGATGAACATTCTATCTGAATTGGGCAATTTTTTCCTTTCTTTCTGAATTTAAATATTTGATGCCTTAACATGATGTTTCACTTTGTGGCAGAGATGTTTCCTTCAATTCCCTCTCGGGAAATTTACCTCTAAACTCTGCCAAAGTAGGATTATCAATGTAAGTTATCATCTTTAACTTGTTTTCTTGGTTCTATTTATCATTCATCAAATCTAAATAGAATTTTTTTTTTAATTCAGGAATGTCGTTGGAACTTCTGTCAATGCAAACAGTTTGCTGGACGGGTACGTTAACCAAAGACTAGAATGCAAGACATTAACAGTTATTAGAAAGGCACATAGAATCATGTTATAGTTTTTTCATGATTTTCTACAGTTAATCATGTAGTTAGTTTTTTTGTATAATTAAAATAAATCCTTTGTATCACAGACTCGAGTGATTTCATTACTATCATTGAATTTCCCAAACCAATTTGATGGTGATTGGTGCAGGAAAGCATCCGGGATGTTGCAATGCCTCGTAGGCGGTACCAAGTGCTCTAACAAAGTTCCAGCTAGTAAGTACCACATTCCCTAAAGGAAGACTGACTACGATTTTAAATCCAAAAATTGGAAAAAATTAAATAAATAAAAACTCTTTGAACATTCTAACTTTTAAGTTGGTTTAGAATTCTGATGTCTAATTTATTTATTTTGTAGCTTCATTTTCAATTAAATGTGGAGGCACAGTACAAACATCAGCATCCGGCATCAAATTTGATGATGACACGGAAACACTGGGAGCTGCTTCAATTTACTCGAGCTCAGATCATCAATGGGCTGTAAGCAACACTGGGAGTTACATTTCCAACCCAAACGGGCCTCAATATACAACACAGACCGATTCTCAAATCATGGAAACATTGGAATCAGAACTGTATAAATCAGCAAGGATCTCACCGAGCTCATTGAGGTACTATGGCCTGGGTTTGATGAACGGGAAGTACAACGTTGAACTTCACTTTGCAGAGATACAAATGGATGATAACTCCTCTCACTCTTGGAAAGGTCTAGGAAGGCGCTTATTTGATGTTTACATTCAGGTACTTATAATAGGAAATAGGAAATTTCGCAACTTTTTTTTATCATTTTTCTTTATGGTGATTTTGCAATTATTGAAGGGAGAAAGAGTGCTACAAGATTTCAACATCAAAAATGAAGCAGGCGGATCCAAGAGAGCATTGGTGAGGACATTTGAGGCGAATGTTACTAACACGGTCATGGACATTCACTTCTTTTGGGCAGGGAGAGGCACTTGCTGCATTCCATATCAAAGCACATACGGACCTCTTGTGTCCGCTATCCATGTTTCTCAAGGTATTGTAGAACCCATTTTCCATTATGATTCAGAAAATTTTCCATTCAATATATAATAACTCAATTAGATGCTTTTCGCTTCGTCCTAACTTCTTTAACTAACTGTTTTGCAGCATCCAATGGCATTAGTTCTTCCAAGCGTGACAAGAAACGCGTGGGGAGGATTGTTGGAGTTGCAGTTGGATGTGCCGCAGGCCTTGTGATAATCTCTTCAGTGTTCTACTTGTGGTGGACAAAGGAAAAACCGACCCACATGCGAGTTCATACAGACGCCCCAAGGAAAGTGTAACTCATTCAACACAGCTCTGTTCTTATGATGTCTGATATTATGCTGCCAAATGAATTGATGAACTTGTAATGATGTCTTTGTCTTTGGAATCAAGGACAATTTAGTGCTTTTCAAAGACTAGTTCTCACAATGTCTATGATTGCAATAATAGTCTTTGGCTTTCTGAAGTTGGATTAGACCCAAAGACCACATTGGCTTGATATGTTAACAGTTGTGTTGTGTGTACAATGTATAAAAGTGCCTACTTTTCATGCTGTTCAATATTGTTCAAACTCAAACCATTTTGACAATGTAGAAGGCATAGGAAATAAAAACTATATATACCTAGAATTCCTACGCTCAAAAATTAAAAACTCTAGATCAAAATCATTGTGAATATGATTTTACATCATAAAAACTTCGAATACATACCACATGCCTCACTTTTTGGACATTTTTTTAAGTAAAAATTTTGAGTAACTTTTTCATTTAAAGAAATAATGTTTTCGGTGCGTACAAGTTCTTTCAAGTGTGAAATGGAGAGGAAAAGGAATGAACGAGTCAAAGATTTAAAGTTACAATGTTGACATATCATATACTCTTAAATTCTTTAATTTTGCTCTTGATAACTAGTATATATATTCCGAATTATTTTATATGATAAGAAATCATTATCATAATTGCTTTATTAGAATAAGAGAAAGGATTGGCATGATCTATCACTATGCAATAATTGCATATTCATAATGTGTGCTTGTAGTTTTTAATTTTTTATTATTAACTTTTAATTTAATGGAAATTATACCAAGTAATCTATCATATATTTCATAAATCATGAAGTTACCATATAGAGAAACATAATTCTATGATAGAAACAATCAAATAATTTGATTGAAATTATCATTACCAAGTTGAAAAAAAGAAACTAAAATAATTTAGAAAAGAAGATAAACGATCACGGTGGGACTCGAACCCACAATCTCCCGCTCCGGAGGCGAGCGCCTTATCCATTAGGCCACGCGATCACCTGATGGGGACTTACGAAACAATTATTTTAATTAGATAATTCCATAATTCAAGTTCACACACAAACGTGGCGCAACACCAGGTTTACATCACACAAATGAGAAACTATTCAATACTTGTTGAGGAATAATTTATTCCGTTTATAAGTTGATACATAATCAGTTATTTTCTAAAATTCTAAAGTAGTGGGTTCTATAATTTAAATCAATAACTATTACTTTATAACACTATTAGGCCATGTTTGATTGGATGGATTAGAGTATGGGATTGAGATTATTAATTCGTGGGCCCAATGTTTGTTTTAACATTTTGGTTTAGGATTATTAATCCAACGGATAATTAATCCAACAAATTTGTAGGATTATTAGTAATGGGATAGGGGTGGAATTATTAATTCAATGATAATTAATTCAATTGGATAGTGAATACTACACTAATTTGATAGGATTATTAATATTTCACAATTAATCTTGTGAATCAAACATGACCTTAGAATTTATTTTAAGAGTATTGAATAATTTTTTCAAACAAACGTGGTGCAAGATGTTGTTTATTACCATTAAATTAACCATTATAGGTGAAGCATGTGATGGATTACATAAAATGTATTGACAGACATATTTATTTTGAAGGTGGACGTCGCTATAATTGGGTTTAATCCTACCATTTATTACATTTTTTATAAATCATTCTATGATTTATTTTGTGGTCTTAGTATTGCTTTTTAAATCATTTACAATATTACTTGTTGAGTGTAAATTATTTATGAAAAAAAAATTAAATTGATTCGATATCTATAATTATAATTTTATTATCTATATTTTATGAATAATTATATGTAAATAGCCAATAACACAAATTTAGAGAACAAAAATGAAATTCGTAATAAACTTGATAAATTTCATTCACTGATAGACAGTAGATAAGCGGTATGATGATATTGACAAGGTCACAGCTTCTCTCCAATCCTTAATTGGACTGGACTGGACTATTGGGTTATGATGAGCTCGATCTCGATGATCCAAGCTGTTGGATGTGTAGAGCTCATTGAATGCATTGTACGTGCAAAAAAACACGTTAATCTAATATCGATAATTTTTTAATCAAATTACATTTGTTTCAACAGCAATTATATTTTTAAAAATAAATCATATACAAAAATACGAACATTTGATTTTACACATGATTTTTTTTTTTTTTTTTTTTTTTTTTTTTTTTTGCACGATCCAACTTGTTTTCGAACCGGAGAGGAGCTCAACCCTATCGATAGATACCCACTATGCAGTAAAGTAAAGTTCCATGCCAAAGAAATGTGTACTTCCCATAAACTTTCTACTAATGGTTAGGCCATCTCCAACTTAAACTAGTTTGTTGCATTAGTTCTAAAATATTGAAGTCTTTCTGAACTTTCCTTTTTTATATTTTATTTTTGGTTAATGCAAAGTACCCAAAAACATTAACAAAGAATTACCCAAAAGACAAAAGGATGGTTGAAATTCATTGGTTTATTTTGAGCTCATGTATAAACAGAATAAAAACAACATCATTTTAAAATTTATTATTTTTATGTCTAAAAACACAAATAAATAAAAGTCAAGAAACGACACCAAGCATGCCTTCAAACATTCTAAAGACTCTACATGCATAAATTTCATAGAGAGAGCTCTTATTTTAAACAGTTTTGACATGATCGCTTGTATGAACTTGTAAAAAAAATTTATCACTACATTACCGACAACTAAATAACTTCCAAATGACACTGTTTTTTTCCATTTGAGAAAGTGACATCCACTTGAAACGAATGACAGTTCTTTGTCATTTATCTCTTTATAATGATTTTGTTATACAACTAAATAACAGTCTTTTTGTCTATTCGAAAAAGAACATCCATTTGATTGCAAATGACAATTCTTAGTCATGTATGTCTTTATAATGATTTTATTATAATAATTTAATCGTCTTAATTTAAATTGAAAATATAACAATTTTGTTTCAAGATGTATGATTGTCAAAAATGACTTTCGTGATAATTCCTGTGGTTGAAGACTTAAAATTCAAATTCAATTAAAAGGGATGAATATAATAGGAGTATAATTTGGACAGGTTTGATTGAATTGACAACTTATCCAAACTCAACTCAAAATATTAAAAACATGAATTAGAAGAGAAGAAATTATTCATTGCCTCATGGGCAAATTTAGGTGGTGTTTCAACCTAACTATTATTGGTTAAAATAGTAAGTTTTACTACTTATTTGATCTATTAGGGAGACAACCAGACATTTGTTCAAATATGAATAGGATGGAGCAATGCTCCTAGGACAATATATAATTTCTTCTAGGATAGACTATGCTAATCCGCAATTGCGAAATGACAACTCAAACTTGGTTAGAAATTATATTTTTGTTCAAAATTTACTGGAGAATTTTTGTATTCTTTATAGAATGTTCAAAAAATCTCACATTTCAAGTTATTTTAAATCAAATCTCATTATATATTTATCTAAAATTTACTAAGAAATTTTTTTATTTTTTAAAAATGTTTTACATTTCAAATTAAAAAGATTCTTATGTGGTCATTTGGGAACCCAACAAAAAGCAGCGTTTTGCAGCTTCTAAAGACACAGCTTGGGCAGCTATAAAAAACTGAACACCATTTGGGAAGCACACAAATCGCAATGTGTGAAATCAAGGCCAGCCTGAGTTTTACGGACCTAAGGTGAATTTTAGAAATGGGGACAACTTTTATATTAAAAAAAAAAATTATGGATAAAATAAAAATTTATAACTTTTTTATTTGTTTATAGTCACAAAAAAATTTACTTGTACATATAATCATTAAAATTATAAACAAAATAATATAATGAAATAAAATTAGGACAAAAAAATTAGGAAAAAATTATTCAATTAAAACTAATAAAGACCTAGGTAAAAAAATTTGGGCAAAATTATTTATTCCACTAAAATCTAATAGATAAAGAAGGTAAAAAAAAATAAAAATTTGGGTCCATATATTGTATGTATTATTTTTCTTGAGCCCAAACACTTTTTTTTTTATATATATATTTTTTCATTTTAATAAATATGGGCCAAACTACATTTATAAATAAATATGGACCAAACTACACTAATAAATAAATATGGACTAAACCATATATAGACCCAATAAAATATTTTGGCGACCTTTAAATTGATCCAAAAACCAAAAAAAAAAAAAATATTGAGCCTATAATATTTTATCAAATTTGGAGACCTTATTTTTTGGCCAAAATTTTGGGGCCTAAGGCCAGGCCTTACTGGCCTTAGGCCAGGGCTGCCCTGTGTGAAATTACATGATTACCCTACATGTTCCAACAAGCAACTAAGTCACATTGGTCAAAAAAGTAAATTGCCTAATTTGGCTGAGATATTTTAGTCATTTTATTGTGATGTGACATCATAAACAAATATTAACTCAAAAAAATCAAAAGTAATTTTTTATTACATTTCCAAATCACTTTCTGAAAAAACTAAAAAACTTGGTAAAAAATTAAAAGTAAATTTTTTTACTATCTTCAAAACACCTCTGTATCGAAATGCATTCCAAATTAAAAATATCCACACCCCACCTCAAACATATTCTCATATAAGAAGATTTTATACTCAATGAAAATCAATGCGGATTTGTGTCACTAGATTCACTCAATTGAATTTTACAAAATAATAAGTTGTATATCTATCTTTTCTATACAAAAGGAAAAAAAAAATATGAAGGTAAATTATCAATAAGTTCTAATAGTTGAACTTAATTCATTCTTATTGAAAATAAGTTCTAGTACAATCATTGCTAAAAATAATTTTTTGTGACAATTTTTTATATATGTCGGTAAAAATTGACAATTAGTGATTTTTTTTGTTGTCACAATTTTTATAAATTGTCGCTAAAATTTACAATTAGTGATGTTTTTCTATGATGAATTTTTCAACAATTGTTAAAAATTGAAAACTACTGACATTTTAAATTGTCGTTAAAACTTATAATAAGTGATATTTGTTATGACAAAATTTTAAATTGTCGATAAAAATTAATAATTAGTGACATTTTTTTTAATAATGTATGATAAAAATGTCATTAATTATTATAGGACTTATTGGACAATAAGTCTACTTACTATGACCTACATGTAAATCTCCAAAAACATAATGAAAATAAGGATATAATCATAAATTCAATTTTTAAAGAATATATTAATTTTATATTTTTAAAATGAATGGGATTAATTGATTTATAAAAAAATTAAGACTAAATTGATCACCTTTTTCTCAAGATTAAGGGTTGGTTTGGCATAAACTAAATAATACAAAAAGTCAAAAAGATATTATCCTATTTAAGTCACATAATCTTAAACTCAACCCAAACCCAATCTATATAAGCCAATAAGTCAAAAAGTATACTTTTTTTTAGAACATCCAAAATCAATCCTAAATTTATGAGTAAATTTTTCTTAATTTTATATTTATTGACAAAATAAACAAATAAAAAAAATTTAAATCCAATTATTTGATAGTGGTGGGTGCAAATTCCTACGTACTTATTTATTTATTTATTTGAACTTAATTCCTACGTATTATTACTACCTATTTTCTCACTCAATTATTAAACATAAAACCATGTGGTAGGCATACACACTTATCAGATAATTTCTGCCCCAAAATAACAGCCACCGTCGGTTCTATTCTAGACGTGGATCAGGTGACGCGTATATCAATATCCAAAAAAATCTCTCTGTCACCGTAACCCGTACGCGGTCACATGGTAATAAAAATAAAATAATCCGCTATTAGATCTTCAAATCAACGGCCCAGATCTTCCCACACTCCCCCCATCCCACTCCTTCCATTCCACCTTTTTATTTCCATTCTCGTTCCCCCTCTTCCTCTCAACAATCTCTCTCTCTCTCTCTCTCTCTCTCTCTCTCCTTCCCTGTCTGTCTCTATCTATCTCCACCTAGAGAGAGAAAACCAGCGCAGCGAATTCTCTGTCCTCCATTGCAACTCCCCTCAGTTGAGATCCAATCTCAAGCCTCCATTCATTGACAAATCAGAGATTCTTCAACTTATCGGTACAAAAATATCAGTTTGCTTGGTTTCTATTTTTGGTTTATGTTCTATTTAAATAAAACCCTAAACTTGTTGTAATTTTTGTTGTAGATTGATCTCCTACAATGGCACCGAGCACGATACGCAAAGCGATTGGTGCAGTGAAAGATCAAACCAGCATTGGAATCGCCAAAGTCTCGAGCAACATAGCCCCGGAGCTGGAAGTCGCCATCGTGAAAGCGACGAGCCACGATGACGACCCAGCCGACGAGAAGTACGTTCGCGAGATCCTACACCTGACTTCGTACTCTCGTGGCTACGTGAGTGTCTGCGTCGCGGCCGTGTCGAAGCGGTTGGGGAAGACGAGAGACTGGATCGTAGCTCTCAAGAGTCTCATTCTGATTCACAGACTTCTCTCCGATGGCGAGCCAGTTTTCCAGAGAGAGATCATGTATGCGACTCGGAGAGGGACTCGGTTGCTCAACATGTCTGATTTTCGAGACGAAGCTCACTCGAATTCATGGGACCATTCAGCTTTCGTGAGGACTTATGCTATGTATTTGGATCAGAAGTTGGAATTGATGTTGTACGAGAGAAAACAGAGTGGCGGCGACAGCGTTGGTGGCGGCGGCGAGCAGCGGTGGAGGTCGCCGCCGAACGAGTTCCGGGACGAATCTGGACATGGAAACTACGGGATGAGGAGGTCGAGATCGTTCGATGATGCGAGGGAAAGATCGAGAGATGAGAGAAAAGATGTGACCCCATTGAGGGATATGAAACCCGAGAGGATTTTCGGAAAGATGGGACATTTGCAGAGGCTTCTAGATAGGTTTTTGGCGTGTCGGCCGACCGGTGTGGCGAAGCAGAGTAGGATGGTGATGGTTTGTCTGTACCCGGTTACCAAAGAGAGTTTCAAGCTGTACTCTGATATCTGCGAGCTTTTAGCGGTGTTGCTCGATAGGTTTTTCGATATGGAGTACTCGGATTGCGTGAAGGCTTTCGATGCGTATACCAGTGCGGCCAAGCAGATCGATGAGCTTGGGGCTTTTTACAATTGGTGTAAGGACACAGGGGTTGCGAGGTCTTCGGAGTACCCGGAAGTGCAGAGGATTACGAGCAAGCTGTTGGAGACTTTGGAGGAGTTTGTGAGGGACAGAGCGAAGGCTGCGAAGAGCCCCGTAAGGAAAGTGGAAGAGAAAGTGGTTCTAGAGGAGGAGCCTGCTCCGGATATGAATGAAATCAAGGCATTGCCACCGCCGGAAAATTACGCTCTGCCGCCAGCGGCGGAGCTGGAGGTGGAACCTCCTATGGCTCAGGAAGAGACCCGGGACTTGGTCGATTTGAGGGAGGAGGCTTTAACGGCCGATGATCAGGGTAACAGATTGGCCCTGGCTTTGTTCGCCGGTCCGGCGGCAAACAATGGAAATGGGTCTTGGGAGGCTTTTCCAGTGAATGGGGAGCCGGAAGTGACGTCTGCGTGGCAGACTCCGGCGGCAGAAACCGGCAAGGCCGATTGGGAATTGGCTTTGGTTGAGACAGCTAGTAATTTGTCAAAGCAAAAGGCTACATTGGGTGGTGGATTCGATCCTTTGCTTTTGAATGGGATCTATGATCAGGGAATGGTGAGGCAACATGCTAGTACCGCTCAATTGAGCGGTGGCAGTGCCAGCAGTGTGGCGTTGCCAGGAGCAGGAAAAATCAATACGCCTGTACTGGCTCTTCCCGCTCCTGATGGGACTGTGCAGACGGTTGGGGGTGATCCGTTTGCCGCGTCGTTAAGCATTCCTCCGCCGTCGTATGTGCAAATGGCGGATATGGAGCAAAAACAACAATTACTTGTGCAGGAACAGACAGTGTGGCAACAGTATGCTAGGAATGGAATGCAAGGTCAAGCTAGTTTGGCCAAGATCAGTGGCGGCGGATACTACACTCCGCCGATGATGATGCCACCTTATGGAATGCCACCGGTGAACCCTCCGGCAGGGTATTACTACGCAACTCCTTACTGATTTTTTTAAAATATTTTGTGTCACTATTGTTTCATACATATTAGTTCTTTTTTTTTTGGTGTTATTTTTATTGTTGTTTTGTTTATTCCTTGTCCAATGTATTTTAATGTGACTTTGTGCACATCAATGGGGGAAGGGAGGAGAGGGAAAATGAGCTGAGGAGATATGGGGGGGATTTGAATGTTGGGTGCTTTTGTAATCCAATTATGATGTCTCTGTATGTTTTGTAATATTGGAAATTTTCTTGGCAACTTTGTAATTTTTATGTGATTAATTTATTAGGTCTCAATTGTTGGATCAATATGGATATTTCATCATCCTTCATTAGTTTGTGAAAATTAAGTGAAATTATGTGTCCTAACCTAACTTGATAGTTATTGGTGCCTTAATTTGATAGTTATTTAGACTGGCCACCTAAGGGTTTTAAGTTTAATTTTGGGCAATGATTAATAAAATGCTTAGGAGTTATGATTAATAAAATTTAGCTCCAGTTGTGTTTGTCAATGAGTTAGCTTAGGCACTATTTGGCATTTTTTTATATTTTTATATTTTTTCAAGTAACATCGTTTCTTTATTATTATTTTTTGTATATCTTTTTATAAAATATTAAAAATTATACTTGTTTAGATCATTTTAAACATCATCTTAGTAGTTTTTTTTTTTTTTTTTTGGAAATGAGCTTAGTATTTCTTGGCACAACATATTTCTTATTTTGTAGGTAAGAGGAGACAAGGACCAACCCAATTTGTGACAATTGTATTGTAAAAAAATCAGGTTCTGTTTGGATAGATAAATTTCATAAAAACATAGGGTAGTTGGTTATTATGAATAGCAAAAATGCCTAAGACCCCGAGTGGGGGTAACCCCGGGGGGGGTATTGGTAAAAAAAATTTGTTTTTTTTTTTTTTTTTTTTTTTTGTAATTTGGACGAATGGCACACTGCCATCTCGCTGGGGGTCGACCCCCAGTGGGGGGGTCTGTAGCGAAGTCCTTATGAATAGATAAGAAAAGAAAAAGCAAACACCAATGATTCATCCCACTAAAAATATCACCACTAATAGCACTAATGCATTAAAAAAGTAAAAAAAAGAAAAAAAAAATACAACTCCAAGACCAAAACATCACATCATTAATGACGGGACTCACTGCCACCTAATTAGTGGGAGCACTAATTAGTGCTTCCAAGCATTTTTCAAAAGCAAAACAGAGTAGAGTAAGAAGAAAAATCTTAGGATATTTGTACAACTATAGTAAGAAGAAAAATCTTAGGATATTTGTACAACTATTATTCTTGGCAAGAAGAGTTTTAAATTACTGTATATATGTAAATTTGAGCTAATATTTTTAAATAATTAGTGTCTAATCTAATATTACCAATTGAAGGATCTAAGTAGATGTTTGACGCGCATTAAAAAAAAGTATAAGAAAAATAAATTTGAAGACACACTTTTTCACCCTTTTTTTTTTTTTTTTTTTGTAATTTGGACGAATGGCACACTGCCATCTCGCTGGGGGTCGACCCCCCAGTGGGGGGTCTGTAGCGAAGTCCTTATGAATAGATAAGAAAAGAAAAAACAAACACCAATGATTCATCCCACTAAAAACATCACCACTAATAGCACTAATGCATTAAAAAAGTAAAAAAAAGAAAAAAAAAATACAACTCCAAGACCAAAACATCACATCATTAATGACGGGACTCACTGCCACCTAATTAGTGGGAGCACTAATTAGTGCTTCCAAGCATTTTTCAAAAGCAAAACAGAGTAGAGTAAGAAGAAAAATCTTAAGATTTTTGTACAACTATTATTCTTGGCACGAAGAGTTTTAAATTACTGTATATATGTAAATTTGAGCTAATATTTTTAAATAATTAGTGTCTAATCTAATATTACCAATTGAAGGTTCTAAGTAGATGTTTGACGCGCATTAAAAAAAGTATAAGAAAAATAAATTTGAAGACACACACTTATTTGAATTATATCAATTAACATTTATCAATATTTTTTTTTTTTACATATTTTTTTATAAAAAATAAAAAAATATATATACTTATTTAAAACATTTCAAATTATCCTAAGTAGAACTAGAGAGAGCCAATAATGAAAATCATATGATTAATTATTTGCGTTTTAGAGTGATGGTGATTGATAATGTTAAATCAAATTGTCCAAGATGACACTACGAATCTGAAGTGACTTACAAGACAGTTTATTCTACGTAATGGGGTATTAATTTGATTCTAAGCTTTTCTTCCAATTTTTTATTTTTATTTTTTTTAAGCATTCTTTGGTATTTGATTCTTTACCATAATTTGGTAACTTTTCTTTGAGCTTGCTTAGCTTTCGCTCAAAATTATAACTCATGTGACTCTTGACACACATCTATACTATATATATATAATCAAATGTAGTTGTTCTGTCAAAAGTCTTCAAATATTTATTCTTAAATTCTCATAATTTTAAAATTCTTTCTTTCTTACGTGGCAACCTTCTTTGATTGCCTTTCATATTTTCTATTTGTCTTCATTTTCTATTTGTTTGATTAATTGAAATTAAAATTAATTTCATTGCTTATCGATAAAATTTTGAATTTCAAAATTCCTCCATATAGATAAACATATAAAAATTGAAAATTAATTTTACAATCTACAAATAAATATAAAAATTAAACAATTAATTTCATAACTTATAGATAATTTAAAAATTCTTCCCTTAAATAAACACACAAAAGTTGATAAATAACTTATAAAATAAATTTTATGGCCTACAAATAAAGATAAAGATTAAATATTAAGCAATTAATTTCATAACTTATAAATAATTTAAAGTTTATTCCCATAAACAAACACACAAAAGTTGATAAATAACTTATAAAATTAATTTTATGGCCTACAAATAAAGATAAAGATTAAATATTAAGCAATTAATTTCATAACTTATAAATAATTTAAAAATTCTTCCCATAAATAAACACATAAAAGTTGATAAATAACTTATAAAAGAAAGGCGTAAGTGTAAGGTGTAAGTTACACACTTAAAAAAAGTCCTTATAATTTTGGTATTTGATTTTGGGTTGTTGTAGTGGTAGGAATAACAAATCTTAGTTATGATTTATTGTGATGACTTTAATTAAGATTAAAATAACATCTTATGCCTAAGATCGGTTATGTAAAAAAATCATTGGTATTCACATGATTAAATCACAAAACTATATAAAAAATGGGTAGCAAATATAAGATTAACTATAATATATATATATATTTTTTGCATTATTTGTAAACCTATCAATGTTTGATTAACTTGATATTTTGCATTGAATATCTTCTTAGCGAGCTCTATAAGATGAACAATTAAAATAATCGAGATATTCCAAGATGAGTTCATAAAAAGTAGGGTGAATTACACTAATAGTCCCTATAATTTGAGGCTTGTGCCACTTTGGTCCCTGACTTTTCAATTGTGACACATTTGATCCTGAATTTTGAATCTTGTTCCAAATAAGGACAATTGAAGATATCATTAGATTTTTAAAGGATAAAATCGTCAATTTGATAAAATATAAACTAATTTGACAAAAATAAATTTCAAACAAATATTTTTAAATTTTTAAAAATTATTTCTACTCACTAAAAATAAAATTATGTAAAATTGATAAATCTTTTAGACATTTATTTTTTTTACTAAATTAATTTTTATTATGTGTTTGGATGATAATCATGTAAAATTAATTTTAAAAAATTAATCATGTAATTTTTATTAATTTTTATCAATTTTATATAATTATATCATTGGTGGATAAAAATAATTTTTAATTAATTAAAAATATTTTTTTGACATTTGTTTTTGTCAAATTAGTTTATATTTTATTAAATTGACGATTTTGCCCTTAAAATTAAACAATGGTATATTCAATTATCCTTATTTAGAATAAGATTCAAATTCATGATCAAATGTGTCACAATTCAGGGACCAAAGTGACACGAGTCCCAAACTACAAAGATTATTTGAATAATTTGCCCCAAAAAGTATGCTGCGTTGTCCAATCCACTTTCATGGACAAGAGAGAAGCCTTATTCTTTCAAATTTACACATATTTGTACCAAGTTGAAACTCAAGTAACCTAACAATATTAATAATATTTACAAATTTAAAAATTCATTTAGACACAAGAAAGATGTATCCACGAAATTCCCATGTCTAAATTGATGGATTGACCTTTAAAATAAGTTTATAAAAGGGTTGGATTTGGGTTGTTAAGCATACATAGTGGTTTGTTGATGAATCCAATTGTTTTTTAGATCTGCCTCCTATTTCCCTATAAATGGCCTCTTATATTAGATTGGATCAGAGTTTTATATATCTATCATTACCTATTATGTTTTGGTTTGGGATGTGGGTTGATTTTTTGACTTTTTTTAGTCTGAGATTAAAAAATCTCGTTTGGAATTTTTTTTTTTGTTTTTTTTTAATTTTTGTGAAAGAAAAAATAAAATGATTGTGGTTTAGATGTAATATTTTATTTTATTATTTTTTTTTTTTTTTTTTTTTTTTTTTTTGGGATAAAAAAAAAAAAAAAAAAAAAAAAAAAAAAAAAAAAAAAGCCCATGTCAAACATAATCCCATTAACCATCATGTATTTAGATTTTGACTTTTTAATGCCAATTAATTGTGTCTCTATTTTTATATATCAACATATATATTATCTTATTATCAATACTGATATATATTTTGATATTTTATTTAGGGAAAATTAGTCTAAGGTCCCTCTCCCATTTTTAGTAATGGAAGAGATCCATAATATTATTTTTTAATGTCTAAAGTCCCTCAACCCACACCTATCTATCACAGAGAAATTTGATATATCTCACTCCATATGAAATTGATTGCTCTCCAAATCTTTCTTTAGAGCAAAATCTCTCTCCATCCTCAGAAAATTGGATCTAGTAGTGAAGCTGTAGAGTTCTTGATCTCATGTTTCTGACGACGATCTCATGTTTCCAGCGATCTCATGTGTTCCGGCGCTGGAATCCGATGCAACCGGAACACTTACAGATCTCGATCTCATCATCATCACCCAATGTGCGTAATTCTCCTCCGCCTCGATCTCGATCTTTGATTTTCCATCTCTCTCTTCTTTGCATTCCTTGCTCTTTTGCATCCTGAACACCGACCAGAACGACGATTTCCTCCGATTAACCAGCAGTAAAGCTTCGGCGAATTGAGAATGTCACAATCTGAGCCGAAGTTGCTGGACTTCGTTATGCTCTTGAAGTTGCAAATCACCACA